TTATGACACGCTGTTTTCTTGTGGAGGAACTATCCTAAACGAAAGATGGATCCTAACCGCGGCTCACTGCCTCTTGTAGTTTTATAAATTGTTCTTTGTTTTCAGTGATTCATTATTTATATTTAGAAAGTTATTCGAACGCTTGTTAAAATAAAAAAATTCATTTCGGCGTTTAATACAGTCTATCATACTGCGTTTTATAGCAAGGTCATTTGAAATAATTTGCTTTCTCAAGCCGTAGAGATGAACCGTGGGCGAAAAGTGTGTATCGCATCCAGGTTGGAACGAACAGACTATATGACAAGCGCTTCAAAGAATTAACAGTCGATGAAGTGAAGTTGTTTCAATACAATTCCTCAGTTGCGGCTAACGATATAGCCTTGATTAAACTTAGTGAACCGCTGACATTCAACAAAACTGTTCAACCAATCTGCCTGGCTCAACCCAATATCGTCGAAGCCTACGATGTTTGTGTTCTTACTGGGCACGGGAAAACTGATCCAGGTTTGTGAAATGTTTAAAATTTTTCAACAAAATATTATAAAATTACTAAACTTTTTGAATAGTTTATGGAATAGCTAGAAACTATAACATTTTAGTATGCAACTAAACTATAATTTATTAATGAATAAAAAACAGAAACTTTCCTAAAATCATTAAAGCTATCAGTACATTTTAACCTTTCCCATAGCGGACGGCAAATCTTCGAGTCAGTTGCTGTTGCAAGGCAAGATGAACGTAATGACTCACTCCGAGTGTTTGGCCAGCTACGTTGAAATACTTCAAAGGGGTGAGAATGAGTTTAACGTTACTTACGAGAAACAATTTTGCGCCGGCCTCATGCCAGCATTCAGAGGAATCAATCCAATGGAGGTTGGGTTATTTTTTTGAAACGATTTAAAGATATTCGTTGAATATTTTTGAAATACTACGATTTAACTGACGTTCTATGTAAATTTAATGAATTTGTGATTAATGTGTGTAGGGGAAGAGGTGGTAATATGGACCACTTTATGTCTTGGTCCAAAAAAAATATTTAGACAATAGTTATTGGACCCTTAGTCTACCAAACAACTAACAAATATGTATTTTATAATATTTTATGACTAATTTTGGTAAAGAATAAAACTTCTCCTTGATAAACATTTTTTGTTAGCATACCTCGAAAAATGGTTTTTGGAAGTTGGGGTGGTAAAATGGAATAAATGTAGAAATGAACAAAAAAATGTTTTATTTTCAGAACAATTTCTTTTATTTTTACATATAATTATAGTTTTATACTTTTAAACATAACAAATTGTTTTTATCAATTAAATAAAAATTATAAGAAATAAAACACATTTTTATAGGAGTTTTTACAAACAAAAGTCACAGATGAAAATATCTTTTTCACATCAACTACATAACATATGAGCCCATTTTAGACATATTACACACTGCACCCAATGTTCTCCAGATTTTGATGTTTTGAATGTCTCACCACAAAATAAGCAGTCTGCATCATTATCTTCTGGAACTTCCTGTCCAATAAGATCTAATGTGTTGGAGCTCCCAGATGAGATAAGACTTTCGGTATCTTTTTCATCGTTTGAAGTTTCATCTTCATTCTCACATTTTTCAGAAATTAGACATTGTTTACTTGTTCCTAGCTGATGCTGATCCACATGCTTTTTATTGCTGATGGCTGCATTTTGATGTGGTCCCCTTTTTTCTTCGAAATTGGTTTAGCTGATTTTTTATCGTTTGATGGCAGCCTTATATGGGGAACTGGTTACGATAGTAGCTGATAAGGCTTTTCTACCTCTATCTGTCGTAACCCCCTTTTAAGCGGTCACATTTTGTTTCTCGGCATGATACCTAAAAAAATATAAAAGGTTGTATTATGGAACAATCTGTTTTAAATAACTATTGAAGAACTTTTAAAGTTTAACATATCTACTAAATAACAAAATAAATAATTATATATATTATATACTCATATAGATACAAAAAATTTAAATCTTACCTATCAAAATATTTGAACAACTTCGGAAACAAAAACTATTTAATCTTTATAATTAAAACAATTATAGATAGGTTATAACAAATCTTCATGGAAAAAATTGCGGTTTCATATTACAAACCCGTTTCATAATACTACCTTCTCCCCTACCTTTAACAAATTTCAATTAATTTTTAACATTAGCATACGAACAAACAAAAAATGAATTTTTGTTAACTGTTTTTTTAGTTCACTGTTTCAATTAAAAAATCGCATTTTCACAGATGATTTCCGTAAATTTATATTTGCTAAATAAGATTATTTCCTTTATTACAACGATCATTTTGAATGGTCAACAGGTGATAATGACTATGCCATTAGTGTAATGGTTAGTGTTTCTGGCTCTCTTGTTGCAGGGATGTTTTAAATACAAATTAATCCTTGCCAATCCCATGCAATGAATCTGATGCAAAGATTCATAAGCGCGTTCGTTAACACCTACGAAAAATACTAAAAATTCAATGTGAATAAAAATTGATGCAAATAATTCAATACTCAAATTGAAGGGTGACAGCGGAGGACCTCTGATGTGCAGAAACTCCCGGTTTCAATGGACTCAGATCGGAGTAGTCAGCTACTGCGATGACTCTAAGATAGATTACTGTCCAATCAGTGTCTTTACTAGAGTTTCCTACTACTACAAAGCTCTCATGGATGCTATGAAATGAGTTTGCAAAAAAAAAGAAGCTAATTTGATATCCTGCTAACTTTAATCTGATGAGTATTTTAGTAGTTAACAACATATGAGGAATGTGATTCAAAACTTAGCATTTTAATAATATTATGCTTTTCAAATGTCTTTATGTATATTTTAATTGCAGTTTATAATTTATGATTCAGATAATTTCATTTTAATTTCGTACATTTTAATCACGCACTTAATATATTTATATATATATAAGTATGTATATATATAGTTGGCTAAACAGGAAACTAACTAACGCGGAATATATGTATATATATATATATATATATATATAAATATATATATATATATCCGCAGAAAGCCTAAACGTAGAATTTTTATAGCTAGAGAACGGACTTGCCCCAACTACTTCATGAACAATATGCCTTGGTCCAGCTATTCGAAACGGCGTTGAACCGCATTTCAAGTGATGAATATAAAGTCGTGATCAGAGCAGATAAATGACCCAAAGAATGCTCTGACAATAAATGAAGC